GGGAGGGAGGGAGGGAGGGAGGGAGGGAGGGAGGAAGAGGGTAGAATGTGGCTGAGTGCTGAGGTGCCAGCCTAGCATGCAGAAGGCCCAGGATTCATTCTCAACACTAAAATCCTTTTTTTTAATGTGGAAAAAAATTCTGTACCTGACAAATCTTAAAGTCTATGTTTTATTTAAAAATTGACACACACATAGATACATATACATTTACACATACGTATGTAAACAAAGTTGAAATATGGCTAACGATACATTTCCTGAAATACATATTGAGGAAATTACAAGAATGTAATTAATTGTTAACATGTTAATGGTAGAATTTAGGTGACTATTCAAGAACTACATCTGAAAATGTTCAGATCAAAAAATAGGAAAGCACACACACCGGGGGTCACCATCCCAAAGACAAGCAATAGCTACAGGCACTGACAACAGCTAGAGTGCCATGGAAGGAGGACCATCTCACCTTATCTTTGTAAGTATCTGGCAAGGACTTGGCTGTCTCTGTATCTTCAGGAAGGTTGATATAAAACCCTAAGACATCTCCTTGTCCATAGCCAGACGAGTAGTGTTTGCCAATAGACTGGTGAAACTTGGTTCCTTTTTTGCTCCGCCAAGAATAGCTAAATTTATCATAACCTAAGGGAGCTTGAAGGTTACCTGTCCCAATGAAAAGAGACATGAAAATCAGAGGACGGCTATAAGTTAACTGCTTTGTTAAAGAAAAAACAGTTCTACTTTTCTTTGTACATATTTTTGGTCAATTTTGCAAACTGCTTACAAACTCTCTCTCTCACAGTATTTTAAAAGTTCCAAACTGGCTTCAGCTTCAAGAATTTAATTTTAAGACCATGATCTGGTAACCCCCAAGCCAATTACCCTGCTGCGAGGCCTATAATTCTCCCAGCTTACCTAAGGGCTGGGACCAGCCCAGCCTGGCAGCGGTATCTGGTGGCATCTCATCCACAGTGATTTCAAAGTACCAGGCCCCTTTCCGTACCCCATGAGAGGCCCGTACCATAGAGTAGCCCTTCTCTCCAACCACGGTCAGCCGGTCGTCAGAGATCTTTAACTGGGGAGCTGGAGTGGGAAGAAGTCAAAGGTCAGTAGTTATTTGAGGGACTTAAGAGACCCAAGTCCCTTGTCCTGCAAGATTATAAAAAGGGACCCAAAAGAGTTGGCATGGGGGCACAGCTTTGATCTCAGCACTCTGGAGGCAGAGGCAGGCTGATCTCTTCGAGTTCCTGGACAGCCAGAGTGATATAGTGAGACCCTGTCTCAAAACAAATTAAAAAAAAAATTATAAAGAAGGAAAAAGGCAAGAATTATTAAGTGTTTATAGCAGCAAGAGTCCCTTCTGTTTGTTTTTTTGTTTTTTGTTTTTTTGTTTTTCCGAGACAGGGTTTCTCTGTGTAGCTCTGCCTGTCCTGGAACTCACTCTGTAGACCAGGCTGGCCTCGAACGCAGAAATCCGCCTGCCTCTGCCTCCCAAGTGCTGGGATCAAAGGCATCACCACTGCCCGGCTGCCGGTTTCTATAAATGCTACTGTCTATCACTACAACATTCAAACCCAGAAACTGATCCTCAGGGAGACTGTAGTGCAGGAGGAAACAGGAGATCCACGTACATCTGAGAACTGGCAGAAGCGAGATGCACATTTTCTGACTGTTGACTACATGCTGGTTCTATAAAGATGTAAGATCTTTAAAGGAGAACCAGTTCTTTCCAGAGACAGTTCAAACCACTCCACTCGAGTGTGGGAGGGACTGAGTGACACTTTGTTTTAGACAGGATCTTGCAACACAGCTCTGGGAGAGCCAGGTATGCACTATATGGCCTCAAATTTATGGCAATACTCCTGACTGGGCATCCAGAGAGTTGGAATTGTATGTATGTGCCACCATGCCCAGTTGAAGTAACTGGAAATGTTGAAGACTCAGTGTTTGGCTGTGTGTTGAGCACGCTCAAGCTCAAGGTACCTTGGCTTAATTCTTCAATCAAGTTGAAGTGACCGACCAACTTCAGACAAGATGACAACCAGCTGCCCTACAAGATGACAGCTTTCTCAAATCACTTGCTTTAGGGACTATTTTGGAGTACTTATGAAGCTACTACAAAGGAAAACCAGGGCAGAGGAAGTGGCTCAGTAGCTAAGAGCATTCTTCCCAAGGACGTGAGTTTAATTCCAACACCTACATCAGGCAGTTCACAACTGTCTATAGCTCCAGTTTCAGGGGATCCGAGTCATCTTCTGGCCTCCATGAACACTTATGGCATATTCTCACAGATACACATACCTATATACCCAAATTAAAATAAGAATTGTAGGTGGTGGTCTATGTCTTTAATCCTAGCACTGAGGAGGCAGAGGCAAGAGAATCTCTTGAGTTTGAGGCCAGCCTGGTCTATAAGTTCCAGGATAGCCAGGGCTACACAGTGAAACCCTGTTCTGAAAAACAAAAAACTCAAAACAACAAAAGAGTACTAGTTTTTCAATTGGTATGAACCAGTATACAGAAAATGGGAAGATTACAGGATGCTGTCCTTCGTGTATAAAAGAGACAGGAGAATACTTGTATCTGTGAAGGCCATGTGTATCCTGTGGTATTTGGCTGGAGTTCCAAGCGTTACTATGAATTCACCAGGGCTACAGATGTATGTGCAGGTTAGTCCTCCTCTCCCCTACAAGGTCCTCTGGAGGCACTGAGCCCCACTAATGTGAGCATACCTGCTATGGTTTGGATGTGGTTGGAGTTTCTCTCCCACAGCGTTTATGTGTGGAAAGCTCAGTTCCTGTGTGGGTGTACTGAAATGGTGCAAATTTTAAAGTTGTACTTAGTGAGAATGATTGGTCATGAGACATTACCGTGAAAGAAGTTTCAATGCAGGTCTTGTGCGAGAAGACAAGCTCTTGAGAACAGCTTATTACAAAGGGATCTTGGCTGACCTAGTTACATTTCTACTGCTATGACAAATACCAAGTATAAGTGTCCAGTGTCTGGGACTGCAACGGGCTTGGTAGTCCCACGTCTCTGGCTCTGTCACTTACAGCACGTCTGCCACACCCCTTAGGATCAGACAGGCTCCACTCCACACTGCTGCTGTGCTGGCCCCTCCAGGATCCCGCACCATCCACTGCAACTGAGCTGCACCTTCCCCAGCAGCCTCAACTGTCCTTTGTAGGGACTGCAATCCTGCACATGGTGCTAAGCCTCGGCTTCTCTTTATGACTTCTCAACCCCAGCGGCCACACGACAACGGAAGCTGCATCTTCCTGGCCACACTGCTCTTGGCATTAGCATCCAAGCTCCCATTCAGCAACCTGCTAGCTCTGCACTCTGATGGCTCTTCCAGCCCCAAGTTCTAAACCCTTGTACTATCTCCCCCAACGCAGTCAGCCTCACAGCAGTACTTCAGTCCAGGGGCCGATTGCTATTGCTGTGAGAAGCATCACGACCAAAAGCAATTTGAGAAGGGTTTATATTTCAGTGTGCACTTCCACATCACAGTCAATCACTGAGGGAAGGCAGCACATAAACTAAAGCAGAAACCATTGAGGAATGTTGCTTCCTGGCTTGCTCTCCACAGTTTGTTCAAGTTGCTTTCTTATATAGCCCAGAACCACGGATAGCTTCAACTCCAGGGGGCTGGGCCCTTCCATATCAATTATCAATCAAGAAAACGCCTTACAGATTATCCAGAGGCCAATCTGATGGAGGCATTGTCTTGGTTCGGATTCCCTCTTCCCAGAACAAAAAACCTAAGCAGCACAATTCCTAAATGATCATTACCACCTACACACCTCGGTCATGTAGGGCTAGCAAGACTCGCTCGTATAAGCAGGCTCTGTAGAGGTCTCCAGGAATTGGTTTTCCCGCCCAGCAGTCAAGTTCAAGCTTCTCCGGGTCAGGGGCATGAGGATCGGGCTCAGCTAGGATATACCGATAGCCATCTTTGTTAAATGGATGTTCCAGAGGGTAGCCATGAGGGGGGAGACGCTGAGCAGAAAATAAAGGGTCACTGAAAAAAAGAGAAACAAAATGAAGACACAGAGCCCTCCCTCTCCAGTTTACCTGTGTTCTGGCCTATAAGAAAGGCTCTGGCTTGTTGTTCCTGATAGAACACATGCAACTTTACAGCAAAAGCTTCATTTTGAAGGGGGAAAAAAAAAAGCTTCATTTAACTTCAATTAATCACCTGACACCCCCACCCCCACCCCACCCCGCACAAATATTTGGTTAAACTACTTGTAGTTTGTAGGGACTGACAACTAACTTCTAGGGAATCTTTACACATGTACTGTCTGTAAGTACAAACTGAACGGTTCTATGAAGGGAGGAAGGCACAGGAGAAACAGGGCGAATGCAGGCTGCTTTCTTTTAGCATTTATTTTATTTCATTTCTTAGAGACTTGTTTTTACTTTATGGATATGCTTGGCTGATATGCATATTTATGTACCATACATGTGTCTGGTGTCCGTTGATGCCAGAAGAGCACATCAGATCCCCTGGAACTTTAATTACAGGTGGTTGTGAGTCACCTTGTAGGTGCTAGGAACCAAATCCAGGTCCTCTACAAGAGCAACAAGTGCTTTTAACCACAGTCAAGGTTTCTCTGTGTAGCCCTGGCTGTCCTGGAACTCACGCTGTAGACCAGGCTGGCCTTGAACTCAGAAATCCGCTTGTCTCTGCCTCCCAAGTGCTGGGATTAAAGGCGTGCCCATCACTGCCCGGCTTTAACCAGTCTTATCTCCAGCCTCCATTTTACTTAACTTTTGAGATAGCATGAATCCCAGGTTGGCCTCCAGCTCACGAAGTAGCCAAGGATGACCTGGAAACTCTGACCCTCCTACTGCTGCCTTCCCAATATAAGGATTACAGGCATGTGCTATCATCCCTTGTTCATCCAGGATCAAATTCTGGGGATCAAACCCAGGGACCTGCATATGTTAGAAAGAACTCTACCAACTAAGCCATATCTATCCAGGCCTATTCAGTCCATTCAGTCTGGAAACTGAGCCATACACATCTCCAGCTCTCTTTATTTCACTCAGTATATAAACCAAGGGACAGAAACCTGGAGGCAGGAGATTTACTGTTTCAAGAGATATTTAGAAAATGCCGCAGGGCGGGCCGGCTATCTAATTGGTGGGGCGGTTCTGCTTAGCTCTGGCCGACATGTTCCGCACTAGATGCACGCCACAGCTAGAAGCAGCCAGAGGCGAGGCGTGCAACTAGACCCCCAAGACAACAGCGTGGGGGATAGATCTGCCAATCCACCACACTGCACCCACAAAGCTCCTCTGAACCCCAGACAATATCTGTCATTCTCACAGTACCTGGGTAGAATGAAGACTCTTAAAGCTTAATGATTATCTAAAGGATTTTATATATTTAGAAATGCTCAATCAACAAGATGCCCACACAATTAGAGTTGTTACCCAATATCTAACCTTTTGATAGAAGTTGCTACCCAGGACAGCTTTCGACCCATCCGTGGTTCTCCATGGTCCATAGCCTCCTTCTTCTCCTCCCCTTCCTGTTTTTCTCCCCTCCCCTTTCTTCTTCTCCCAGCTCCACCTCCTCTTCTACTGCCTAATCACTGAGCTCCACTGTGAATACAATGTAGCAGAATAAAGATCCTGCTACAACTCTCAGTTGCCAGTCTAAACCAGAAGTGATCTGAACATCATCACCTCAGCTTTGGACAAAGGGAAAGGAAGAGACATGAGAAAGGAGAGACAGGACTTTAAGGAGCTAACAATTTAGTAAGCTTTATTTCCTCGCCCCTATCTAACCTCAGATCTAATAAGAGAACTTTATTCCTCAGAACAGAAAACACTGTTATTAGGACTGCTGTTTGTTGTTTCAATGCTGGGAATTCAACCTGGGGCCTCACCATGTCAAACATGCCCTCTACCACTGAGCTGTATTCCTAGAGCAAGAATCTATTTTATAGTAATAAGTTCATAAAAGAGAAGACCTCACTTGAAGTTGGTTTGTCTTACCAGGGGCTCAGGACTCATCAAAAACAAGCAAACAAACCTAAGAATACGGTTCTTTCCCTTTCAGTGAATTTTGCCCACAGCCAATACCCAGGGACTAAGTGGGGTGGAGTGGGATGATCACACCTTCTGGCCTTCTTGGTGGTCCCCGTTGTTCCTCCATCCTGCTGCTTACGCTTGGCTCCTCTTCCTTTCCCACTGCTTCCTGCTGCGATCCCCCCTTTGAAGAGAAGGCAGATCATTTTCACAGAGCCACTACAGAGGCATAAGGGCACTCAAAGTCCATGACGACTACCATTCCCAATGTGCATTTGTGTAACATCAGACAGTTTTCTTCTTGACCTATACAGATTTTAGCCTGGTTTTCAAAGGATTAGCTATATCTCATTGCCAAAATCCTGGGCCAACGTTCAGATAGTAAGGTCACATGAATCTAGTACACCTGATATCCGAGTTACATCTTCAACCTTCCTTCCTTCCTTGAATAAACAAATAAATAAATAGATAATCAATCAATTAATAAACGTGTATGTGGAGATCAGGAGAACTCTGTAGAGTTACTTCTGTACTTTACATGGGTTCCAGGGATTAACTAAAGTTGCCAGGCTTGCAGCAAGTGCCTTTACTAGGTAAGTCATCTTTCCAGCCCTTTCTTAATGGACTGTACCCAATGGTACTTTAAAAGGTTGTGACACAAATGCATCTGTACCCAAACTCCAAGCACCCACAGCTAAAAAGAATGAAAACACTGCATGGACTGTGCTTACTCACCACTTAATACAAACATCAATAAGAATGTCCTTACTGAAGGCCAATGTCTACTTGCTTCAACTGCATAATGTATTTTATAAACATAGAAAGGCATTATCTACAGAAAGCACTCGAATATCCAACAAGACAAAAGTACACCAAACATCGGAAACAAAAACAGAAATACTAAAAAGGTGTTTCTCTCCAGTGTTTGTAAATTTATCATGGTTATACATATGAAAGGTCAGAAGCTTTAAATTTAGTACGCAATTTTTAGTTCCATATCAATAACTGTGCCAATGAATTCAATAGGTTACACATTAACCTGGTTTGTGGAGTTAACGGCAAATCAAACAATTCATATATTTTATATTACAACACTTGTACACATTCAGACCACCAGGAATATTGCCTAATGTGTTTTGAACTACTTTGTAAGGTTTTTTTTGTTTTCATTTCAATTATTCCTCTCAGTTTGCTTTCCTCTTTCCAGAAAATGGTCCCTGAACTGCAGGAAAACACCTTTATGTAAACGACTGCATGGAGTGCTGCTATGTGTAAATTTGGGACAAGCTTGGAGATTACCAGCAGCTCTGCTGTAATAAAAAGAATAAGGACACAGAGAGCAGGTCATATTCTGCACACACAGTACCAGATTAATGCACAATGTCCTTTTATGAACCTGGCTGCTATTCATACAGCTCATAAAAGGTTAATGTTAAAAAATTATGATGACATGATTATTAATCAAAAGCCTGCCAAATCCTCTACTGCCATTTGGCGCTGCTTGAGCAGAGTAGGCAACACTGACGGGACTGTTGGCTGGCCATGTTGGCAGAATATGACAGCGTCAAGCTTTGACTCCCACCATCGAATGGGAACTACAGCTCCACAGTCAGTGCCGCCACACCACTTTCACAATGCTTTAGAATTATGGAGTTTAGCGTCTACCACAGCTCAGCAAAAAGCACTTCAAACCACAAGATACTTAAGTCTGAGGCTGAAAGAAGACAGAGAGGAATTCACCTCCCAAAGTGGCTCCACCTGTAAGAACAGAAGTGGCACTATGTATTGTCAGGTATCAACAGTCCCAAAGGGAAAGCACGGTGTAACAACAGAAACAATACACTCGCATTTCCAACACACCTTAAGAGTGTTAACTGTGGACTGCATTATATAGTTAAGATGCTCCAATCCTAAAAGACAAACTAGTGAACGTTGCCACGCGTGGGACGGCTATCCACTAAGCTACTGCCTGGCCCCTAGTGTTTATTAGATTAGCAACAAAGAGAATTCCCTCCATTAATTAATTAGCTGGATTACCAAAAAGGGGGGAAATGCCATAATAGGTGATCCATACAGAAATACTGACAGATGAATGTGCTGAAATATTCAGGGCAAGAAAAATTAGACGGACAAAGGCAACTTGTCAACCAATTGTTGAGCTATGGAAAAGAGTGGCAAGCAAATGATTTTCCCAGATTAGATGTTTGTTATCATACAGATTTGGAATCTAATGAAAATACAGGAAGTCTAACCTTCAAAGTATACATTGTCTTACACAAAATCTGCATCACTTCAGTCTTAATTGAATTTGGGTGGATGGACTTTATTAACGTCCATTGTAAGCATAATTAGGAATTCACAGTTCATCCTATTAATGTGTAGACCTAGTGTGTAATACTACTAGTAAGCCCAAACTGCTGGAAGTGACAAAAGCTCTCTTCCATTATCATTCCCCACGGGTTTAGTGAGCTGCTACAATCTGCGTTTCCAATTTAAAAGCATTTTAGTAATTACCCAGGTCTGGCTCCTCCTAAAGAACACCCACTTCCAGGCAAGGCTCTCATAAGTCACAAGCTTCTGACGAATACTAGAACACATACCATTTAGGTTCCCACTAGCAGACACAGCGCTGCTTTGTTTCTGGTTGTCATAAGCAGGACCAATATTACTAAGATCCTAGAAGAAGAAATATCCTAGTAAAAAAAAGGCCACATGAGCAAATTAATCTGGCAACTGCTCCAAAAATGGACAAAATTAGAGCACAGAAAATGAAAGTCATAGCCTAAATAAAAAGCAAGAAAGGTCCTCAACTCGGATGCCTCAAGAATTCACAAAGGAGCATGCGTGTAGCAGGCCTCAAGTCAGGGTCGGAATGGTTCCAGGAGGGAACTGACCATCAGCCGGTTGGGGAGAGCTGCACAGCAGGCCAGGACACTCAGGTCCCCTCACTCTGCCCTCTAGAGGAACTGTGACCCACACAGCTGAGCTGTCCCGTTCTGAGACAGAAGTCTGAATTTTCATTGTCCATTTTACCACAGTGACCACCGAGAGGTCCCTGCAGCTCTTCAAATCTCCATGGGCAGCCAATCAGCCCCCAGCTCAGCGTCTGGGAAGGCGGCTGAGGACAGAGTCCTGAGCTTGTGCCACACTGACAGATCTCATCTCAAAAGAGGCAGCAAGTCAGACACTTTAAGGCAAATCTTCTTAGTTGCCAATGTGTCCTTTGCTCTGCAACAAAAAAATGGACATTTCTTTTTCCCATAATATTCTAGCAACACAGATTCTCCCAAAATTTCTTCAGAACAAAGAATGCTTTTAGGAGCAGAATCTCAGATAACAGATTAGAAAAAAAATTACAAAAGTAAGCCCTAACACTGAGGAACAACCAGAATCAAAACCGGTTCCTGAGCCAGGCATGGCGGCTCACACATGTAACCCCAGCAAGTGGAAAGTTGAGGCAGGAAGAAGGATCATGAGTTTAAGCTAACCTGGGCTACAGTGAGATCTTGTGACAAAAAGATCACTGCCAACTCCTGGGAACTGGGGACACGAACTCATGTTTTTGTGCTTGAACACTTTTTTTTGAGTTAAGGCCTCACATAGCCCAGGCTGGCCTCAAACCAAAGATCTTCCTTATTTGCACTTCCTTAGTGCACTACCATGAGTGTACCACGACTCCCAGGTAAGGACTCTCATCAACTCAGCCAAATCTCCAGCCACGTGCTTCACCACCCCTACAAGGTTTCTGATAAAAAACAATATGGAGAGGTGGCTCAGTGGCTAAGGGCATTTGCTGCTCTCCCAGTGGTCCCAGGTTCAAGTCCCCAGCACCCACATGGAAGCTCACTGCTGTCTGTAACTCAAGTGTCTGGGGCTCTGCTCCACTCCCTCTTCTGGCTCAACAGCTACTACACAAACACGGACCTCATAGATGAGAAAGAGAGACAGAGACACAGAGATCCTAGGAAGGAAGATTAATGTACCTGATCCAAAAGTCCAAATTTGGGGTAATCTTCTTCTGGGTCTTTGCTTCCTGGATCAGGGTGTTCCTTTACCAAGAACACATCTCTTTCCTTACTCTAAAAGGAAACAGTATCTTAGTGATAATGAACATCTTACTTACAAGTGCAGAGAAACTCACTCACCAACTGCAAATGTCAATTCCTAACTGTATTCTCCAAACCCCGTCAGGTTCCTCTTATCAGAAAATCAGTACGTGACCAGAACAATTCAAGTGAGAGAGAGCACTCAGAGCCTGGTCAGGCAGGGAGGCAGCGCGGGTGGCAGAGTTCTTGCCTAGAATGCATGCAGACCTGGGTCTGAGCCCTAGCACGACATGAACACCAAGCATGGTGGCTCACACACATAAGCCCAGCACATGGAACACTGAGGCAGGAAGAGTGACCATGAGTTACATGAGTTACAACTGTACTAGCACTCTGAAGGGAAAGAAAGGTCAGAGGTCAGTCACCCTTGGCTACACACTGAATTCAAGGCCTGGGCTACAAGAGACCTAACAATAACAAACAGGACAGTGAGAGCCAGTGCTCCAACCCTCCTCTCTCCGCTTGCCTGGATTAAGCAGACTTTTCCCCAAGTGCTCTCATTACTTCTAAAGTCAATACTCAGAACAAGACTTTTCTTATCTAACTAAAAAAGAAAAAAATGTATCCAAATTCAATTTAAAATTCAATTTGCAAAAGCGTGGTGGATAGAGATGGCTGGACTGGAGGGATGGCTCAGTGGTTAAGAGCACGTGCTGGTTTTCCAGAGGACCCAGGTTTAGTTTGGTATCAGGTGACTCAAAGCTGTCTGTAACTCCAATTCCAGGGAATTCAATGGCCCTTTCTGGTCTCCACGAGCACTGAATATACGTGGATACACATACATATACTCAAGCATATACATATGCGTATAAAATAAATCTTAAAAAAAGACAAGTTTCAGCACATAAAAGCAGTCTTAGAGAATGATATTCACATAAGACAGTAACTAGCTAAATTTGTGTAAAAAATTAAAATGTATAACTACCTGTATCTCTTTCATTCAATGATTAATATCAAATTCCTTGCATAGTTTCAGCCATTACATTATTTCAAACTGAAGAGAACTTTCGCTTACAAACAACATAACTGATCGTATCTACTCAGTTTTCATTTACTTACCATTGTTTTGACAATGTTATTGGGCCAAGTCATTTTTCCAGGTCTCTGTCTGGTTGTCATACATTCCCAGTATTTATCAATAAATGGTATAATATCCTATTTTTAGGAAATAAAATATAATAAGAATTATAGCTGTCTTCAAAGTCACACACACACACACACACACACACACACACACACACACACGCGCGCGCCTTTTCAAAGACTTCATTACAATCAAAGCAAAAATCTGCCCGTAGTTTTTAGGTACAGAAGAAATATTCAATTGTCCAAACTAATATTTGGCCTGTAGAGTGTGGCTCATGCTTAACAATCTCAGCACTTGGGAAGTTAAGGCAGGAAAGTGGCTATGAGTTCCTGGCCAGGGCAACAGTGTAAAAATTTGTCTCAAAGAAACAACAACCCACCAACCAAGTATATATAGATTACGGAGATTTCAAATGAGTATACACAGATTTTAGCTATTCAGCACTTATAACCCACAGAAGTTATATTCCCTTCTGTGGCTATCAGTGGATTCTGAGCTTTTGTCTCTGTGTCCTGAGAACATTTTCTTCTGAACAACATACAGAAACGTCACTCTTCTTTGTAACTGAGATGGAGCTTTGTACCTTGTAAGTTTACTCTGTACAGTTCTGTTCTTGCTCTTAATATTGAGAATTACTGATCACTCAGAACCAGTTGTTCTGTGTCTTTCCTTACAATCTATAGAAGCAGAATGACAGGAATTTAAAGTTTTCAGGCACTTCACCTCTGCCAGGCTCCCTTCCAGCTATTTTGATGGTGGTCCTGCTTGCCAGCTCTTATCTGACTGAAACAGTGTCTGACCTTGGTCTGTAGGCATTACATCGTACCACTTGACATTGTCTTCCAAACTCTAAGCATTTATCGTGCAGAAAAGGAGTTGAATCGGAAAAATGAGCCGTCATCCCAGAAAACAAGGAGTTCAGAAACTCATGAGGACATGTCTAAAGGTTTTGGCTATCAAGGTGACAAAGCTATCCTGGTCAAATGTGAGACAACTGAATGTCAGGAATTCAGTGGACTATAGGACCGTTATATATTACTGCTTTTAGGGTCACAATGAAATCTCCATGATATTAACTCAAACACAGGAGAATGACAGAGCCGAGAGCACGGGCTGTATGAACCTGCTGACTTGCAGCACACTGAGGTTCAGAGTCTGCACTCTGAAACAGTGAATAACAACTCCCCACAGCAGTGTCCCAGTGGCTCCTGTCCTTCCCATTTTTGCCTGCAGACTCTGGCCTACTGCTCATATGGTCCTCAGCTGGCCAGTTAGCAATTTTTTTCCCACAGGGACAAGGATGAGGTCAGAAACTAGGCAGTCAGCTTTGTGTTCTTTCTAGGGAAGGCTAAGACAGTCGTACCTATAGTATAAGAAAGGGTAAAGGGTTCCATGTGTGATCTTAGAATCAAGAACAGAGGGGTTTTGTGGTTTTTGTTGTTGTTTTTGTTGTTTTTTTGAAAAAAGGCAAAACAGAAAGACTAAAGCAGATTATGAGCTTGCAGTTACCAGTTCCAGGTCAGCCAAGGCTAGAGACTGGTTTACACCAGACCTAATTATGGGATAGGTAACCTGCTTGCTTCAAAAAGCCAACCAAGTTTTATTTTAAGGGTTGATAATACTAACAGCTAAGCCAAATGACATCTACTAGATAGCTGGAAAATTATAATTTCCACATGTGGAAAAAATAAGGTAACTACTACATGATTTACTCATAAAAAAAAAAAAAAACTGAGCAGAAGGGCTGGAGAGATGGCTCGGCGGTAAAGAGCATTGTCTGCTCTTCCAGAGGTCCTGAGTTCAATTCCCAGCATCCACATGGTGGCTCACAACCATCTGTAATGGAGTCTGGTGCCCTCTTCTGGTGTGTCTGAAGACAGTGACAGTGTACTCACATAAATAAATCTTAAAAAAAAAAAGAAAAACTGAACAGAAGAATATGCTTGCTAAACAGAATATGTAGAAGTTCCCCTTGATTCTTCAGTATATCGCAATGACATTAGCTCTACCTTATCTTTGGAGAACATGGTTTTTGGGTGCTCATCCTGTGTCCGAGACTGCCATGTCAAGTTCGCCAAAGCACTAAGGCACATCTCCTTTAAATCTATCAGAAAAAATAAAAGACATCTCTGTAAATCTCTATTTCTACCAATAGGAGCATACTCAGTGTAATGGTGTGATGGTTAGTTTCAGTTTGACATAATCTAAAACCTCCTAACAAGAGAGTGTCAGTGAGGGGCTATCTGTATCAGGTTTGGCTGTGTGCTTGTCTGTGGAGGATTATTGTGATTATATGAGTTGAGAAAGCCTGCCCACTGTGAGCTGCACTATTTCCTGGACAGGGTGTCCTGAACTGCGTGAGTAGAAGAAAACAGCAGGCAGAGCTTATACTGTCAGTGTGAGGTCAGTGTGGCCGCTCCCTCAGAGGCTGCTGCTGTGAGCCACACACTGTCAAGTCAGGACGCAGTGGAACCGGAACTGCAGGCCTCACCCTTCCTCCTCTGAGTTGCTTGTGTCAGTATCATATGCTGTCACCAGGTAGAGAGACCAAGACAGTGGTCTACAAAATAATCATCTCAGCAGCTACAAATGAAGTAATACCTTGATTTGAAATGACAACTGCAGTTATGCAGAGCTAAGTACCAAACTAATCCTAACCAGCTCTTAGGCAAAGGTATCCTAAGTGTGCCAACCCTAATCTCTTCTGTTTTCCAAGGGACAATCAGCTCTTTAAAATACTCTGGAGTTGTTCTTACTTGCTTGCTTCCGGAGAAAGTAGGTATTCCCACTGTGATGGCACACATTGCAATGGAAGCTGTAGTTGGTCATAAAAGGTAGGCATGACCTGTGGATGGGCCAAATTACACAGATTAGTGAGCCACTCAACACATTTCTATGCCTTCCTTTAAAAAGTTTATTATTAGTAGTAGTAGCATGTGTAGACGTAATACATGTATAGGCACATGTCCCAAGATGCACAGATCCCAGGGACATGGAGGCCATCCTGTGACTTAGTTTTCTTCTTTCATCTTCAAATGGTTCTAGGGACCAAATTCAAGTCTTGAGGTATACTCAGAAGTGTCTATCTGCTGAGATATCTCACTAGCCCACTCTCTGGCTTTTTCTGAGATAGGGACCTAGTCTAGAATTAGCTACAGTTCATACAACCTAAAACTTGTGATCCTCCTGCCTCAGCCTCCTAAGTACTTGAATTACAGGTGTGCACCACCAGCTCCACTCAATACACATTTTTTCCCTTCAAGACAAAGTTAAAAGGTATAGCTCTGGCTGGCCTGATATTCAACTATACAGCCCAGCCTGGCCTCAAAATTAACAAAGACTGGCTCGAACACCAGAGGGTTCCTGCAATTTTAAGACCAACTGGTATATAAAGGGTACTCCAGGCCATCCAGGGCTATATAGTTGGAGAGCCAATGACGTAGTAGTTATCCGCACTAAGTCAAACAGCAGATAAAGGTCTCCACATAAGAGGAGACCTTTCACTCTGAATCATAATAGTTTTAGTTCGCCATAATAGGTACATGTTTAGAATTTTTTTTTTCCCTCCTGAGAAAAAGTGTAAGATAACAATTGGGGTACATTATTAGCAATGAGAAAGGAAACAAAGTAAGCTTTAGACACGAAAAGCACTGATCACCTAATTATTTTTCATAAATTAAAAACATTTTTCTCGGGCAGTGGTGGTGCACACCTTTGATCCCAGCACTTGGGAGGCAGAGGCAGGTGGATTTCTGAGTTTGAGGCCAGCATGGTCTACAGAGTGAGTTCCAGGACAGTCAAGGCTACACAGAGAAACCCTGTCTAGAAAAACCAAAAAACAAAACAAACAAAACAAAACACCCAAAAAAACATTTCTCTCCAGTGATGGTGACCCACCCAGGGCTTTGCACATAGTGGCAAGAACAGTACAACTGAACAGCACACCTTCAAATAAATGGTCGTGACAAAAAGCCTTGCCCACTGTAAATACTAAACCCAAAATATATTGTCTCAAATTCAATTAGATAATCTCTTCTAATTGCATAGACTTGATTCCCAATCAGATTGTAAGTTCAAAAGCAAAGACAATGCCCACACTGATACATAATAGGGCTCTGATCTCAATACTTAACAATATGCCAAAGGAACAGAGACAATTCCTTAGTCAGCATACTGGTCACTGAATGAGTGAGCACAAAATACTACCAATTGATTTGGGGGGGAGGGGTATATTAAAAATACTTCTCAATTTTTTTGAGTTTAAGATATAATTACTTAATTTCCCCTTCCACCTCTGGAACTGGGGTTCCCTGACCACTATGAGCTGTCACTGCATGCTGGGAATCGAACCTAAGTCTTTGGAAGGGCAACCAGTGCTCTTAACTGTTAAGCCATGTCTCCAGGAGATCTCTATAAGGCCACGAAATGTACTCACGACGTGTCTATTCCAAAGGTTTCAGCTGTGAACCACTTTGTACATATTCCACACTGCAACTCGACCTCTCCCAACTGCCGCCCATTGTCCTCATCCACAGAGCCCGCCTGCGTATCCATCACTTCTGAAGTATCTCCAGCACCTTCCTGGAGCCGCAGGACAATCAGAGAATCATTTGGGCTGACTGACTACATTCTAAAAATTAGATTAAAAAATTTAAAACAAAACCTAGTTTGCCTTTCAAAGGCCTACAAAAATACTTACCAATGTATCTTTCCCATTAGAAGATTCTGTCTCCAGCCCACTTACATCAACCAAGTTTGCATCTCTATAACAGAAAGCCAAACATCAAAATACCTATTTCAAAACAAAACAAAAAAACCCACTGATCCAAAAACTGACGGACTTCCTAGCATGTCTTTTTCGGCTAAGCATGTTCTGAACGGGATGCCCAAGAAAACAGTCCTGAATACTGGGAAGGAGGCTGGAAGTGTTCATGGCTTAAAGTTCGACCTGAGGGAAGTCACTCGGGTTTGGGTTTCCTAGTGTACTCAGGATTGATTTCCTCCATCCCAATAATGAAGGGAGGTCTCCTTCCTTGGTTATTTCAGCAGAAACTAGTATTGGAAGAGTGATTAGCTAAGTCTTCCGGGGTGCAAGGGCGGGAGAGGAAAGCATGCTTGGCTCACACTTGTGCAGATGGAAGTCGGAGGTGCAGTTCAGAGCCGACCCGCCAAGCAGCCAGCTGGGCGCGGAGGGTACCGAGCAGGCCGAGCCGTTGGCCTTAGGGCCTGGGTCCAGAGGGCTGCACCGAGCGGCGCGAGCCGTGGGGTTCCACGAGGGGCGGGCCCTCGCGCGTCCTCCTGGGCTGCAGATATCTTACCCACTTTCAGCCTCTCCAGAGCTGGGCTCCGCTCCCGGGGCGGCAGACGGCCCCTCTCCAGCCCCAGAGGCCACCGGCTCTGTCTCTCTGTCTTCTGCCGTTGTGGCACTTGCAGCTGCTCCTGGACCAGGGCCGGCGACCACTCCGGGGCCAGGACCTGCTCCAGTCGCCGCCATTGCTGCTACTTCTCAAGCTCTCGCGAGAATACATCTGTGCAGTCCACGCACGGCGCTCTTAAAGTGGTAAAGACCTTTTGTAGAGCCCACCACTTACTTGTGAATTACGCTCTTTGAGGCCGCCGCTTTAAGGCCAGAAAAAGCCGAAAACCCTCAGATTGTCTGGGTTTGAAGGAAGCCGCTTACTAGGTCGGTCATTTACTTTCCTCTGGGATTTACGTTATTAAAAACGCCTGCTCATTTTCGTGGCTAGGAGTGGAAATCACTGGGTACATGAGGATTTGAGAGTCTCCCCTTTACACTGTGCCGAGCAAACGATCATACTAAAACGTGGGAAACTTCCAAACGACAACAAACCAGCACTTTGGCTCACACCTGTTGTGAGCTTCTATAACTCGTAGTGGCTGGGCGCTAAAACGGCTTTTGGAGACACTATAGTCTGGTTCCAGAGTCCGAGGTAGTGGAGGGTGGAAAAGTCGTTAGAGAAGCATCTGGCCAGAGGAGGCTAAAAGTACAGTGCGCTCTTGGAACACAAAGAGCTAGTTCAAGGAGGAAAATAAAGCCCCAGGGAAGAGTCTGCTACCAGGGAAGAGAGTTCGGCCAGGTTTGATGCTCAGCCAAAAGAAGGGCGGAAACTAGATTGTGAAAGATGTTAGCTGGTAGTTAAAACCCTGGAGTGAATGGAAGTATATGGTCTCCAAACCATAGAACCACAGAAACAACCCCCCCCCCGCCCTTGTGTGCACGCGCGCTTTATAGATGTGTGGGCATGTATGTGGTATGGTGCAGCGGACAGGTAGGAGGAGCGAGAATAGCTTTTTCCCTTCCACTATGTGAGTTCTAGGAATCCAACTCAGGCTTGGCAAGCAAGCGCCTTTGCCCACTTAGCCACCTCACTGACCATACATTTGCTGTTTGCAAAGATTAAATTTCAGTAGAGCACAGATCTAAAACAAACACAATTAGGGATTGGATCATTGATAACGCTATTTTTCAGTTGTTATGAGAAAGTGCCGCCATGACCAAAGATAACTTAAGCAAGAGAGGGAGTTTATTTTGGTTGAGGGGTTCAAAGAGGTATGTATGGCAGCAGGCATGGGGATGGTGACTTTAACGCAAGGCTGAGAGCTCGCATTTTTTACCAGAATCATCAAACACAGGGAGAACGTCAAGGAAGCAGCTTTACTTTTTACGTGTAAGCTTGCCCCCAGTGACATACTTCCACCAACAAAAGTTCACCGCCTAAGCCTCCCCAAACATACCAACTGGGACTCAAGTGTTCAGGTCCCCAAGACTGTGGGGGGACATTTCTCATTCAAACCACCACAGATCATATTCCTTCAAAAGTAAACTTTCTCTAAAAGTAGGTAGTACAGGTTGGAAATGTAGCCTAGCGTGCAGAACTAGCCATACAATTCTGAGTCTATAATCTCAGAACTGTTGAAGCACAGAGACAGGGAAATAATACATCTGGCAATGTGGCTCAGTGGCAGAGCACTTGCCTAGTATGCTTGAGGCTCTGGGTTTGATCCCCACCACAGAAATGGTAGCATACTGTGAACAGTCACTAAATCATTCCATATACACATCTTGAGCCACTGATTTTTAAGTGGTGTCCCCAGGGTGACACTACATCCCCATCAACAAAGAGATGTTTACTCCAAAAACAGCATGTCTAAAGCACTCTCCCTGCGAGTCACAACCATCTTCAACCTTGAGGTGGAACCTATTCAGTCTTTCACTATTGTATGAATGAGGAGTTAGGGTTTTCTTTTTTAATAATGTAAGAATTTTTAACTAAAATAGTTACATTATTTCCTCCCTCCAATCCCTCCCATGACCCCCTTACCCTCTCTCAAATTCATGACTTTTTATTATCATTATGTATGTATTATACATAAAATATGTAAACATATTTGTGCATATGACAAATGTGCATAAAATAAATATAATATGCTGAGTGCACTTAATGTTGTTTGTGCTGATTTCAGGGCTGCCAACTTGGTATTATATAGCCCCCTGGGGAAGCCTAGTTTTCCTCCTCTCCCGAGCTGTTACTTGTCTATAGTTGTCTAGAGGTAGGTCCCCTGAGACTTACCCCTTCCATGTTAATCTACTAGGATTGCCATCATTCCCGTCTTGTTTCCGCAGCCATATTGCTGTGATGTCATGGGTCATTCCTGATAACCATCATCTCATGGCAGACTTCCCAGTCTTCTGGCTTTTACAGTCTTTCTGTCCCCCTCCCCCTCAACGGGTTTTCTGAGCCTTAGGTATGTTGTTGGAGATACAGCCACTGGGATTGGGGTACTCACAGTTAACCCATCTCTGCATTTTGACTAGCTGAAAACCCCTTGAATAAAATATTTGAAAACTGAATACAGATATTCATAAAAAAGATTATCTACCACAGCCAAGTTAGCTTTACCCAAGAGATGCCAGGATGGTTCAGTATATATGAAGTCAATAAATGGACGGATTTAACTGAAATCACATGACCATCTCATGTGATTATAGAAAAATCTTTGCCAAAATCCAATGTGCCTTCATGATGTGTGTGTGTGTGTGTGGGAGAGAGAGAGAGAGAGAGAGAGAGAGAGAGAGAGAGAGAGAGAGAG